ATCTGTTTTTTTTTCCCCCACCCCTCTGCTCCATAGACTTACCTGCAGGGCAGCAGGCCAAGGGATGGCATCAGTAGCACACAGTACATCTTGGGTTGCTTTTAAATGCCAAAGGTGATCTTCTACTTCAAAATTAGTGGTCTCCAACCCTTTTGAGTAAAGTTATTAAAGGTGAATAAATACTTGTTCCTGCATCAGACTTCAGAAAGTATCCTTAAGCCAATAGAGAAGCCCATTAGTATCCTAAACAGTTTAGCAGCAGGGTAGAAATTTGGTTTACACTCTGACCTCCTCAAGGTAGAAGTGTTCAGTCCACTTGTTGTTCAGAAAACATGCAAGATTAAAATTTAGAAGGTTTTTTCCTTAACCTGCGTGCATGTTCATGATGTCTGCCAAGATGTTAGGAAAGGATCTTTTTTTAAGATGAGGTAGGCTGTGCACTGGTCACTCCAGTTTATAAAAGATAAAGGTTGGAGGATGCTTTCATGAAAAGAAATAAGAACATTTAAAACCTGATGGTGGGAAATTCTCAGGTATTTGTAGAATGAAACATGGTATACAATAGAGTACTGAATGAATAGGTAATAGAATATTCAAATAACACCTCTCTCAAGTTTGTCAAAATACACTGTTGCTGTTCTACTGCAGCAAATCAAGCCATGCAAAAGTGCACTTTACTCTTTGTCAATCTGAGGGTGAGGATAATAAGAAAAATATTTGTTGTCTGTTTTGAAGAACTAGATGGCAAAAACAAACTGGGCATGTAGCATGCGTTTTTAGTATGGGAGCATTTTGTAGAATCAGAAGTCAGCTTTGTTATGGAATGGCAGGTACCTGTGCATACTTGTGATCTTGACTTATAATATTATGTCTTTAAGCTGGTGAAGAAGTAGTAGATCTCACATGCGAATCGTCTGAACCTGTAGTAGTTGATTTAACTCGCAATGATTCTGTTGTGGTAAGTAGTAATTTTGTCCACTTGTCTAAATGCTCTGGTCAGCTTAGAGTTCAGTTAGCCGCTTATATGTAGAACTTGGAAAGAAAGTAAGACCAAACTCTAGATTGACTAAACAACACATGAAGGCATTACCTTGACAATATAGGTAAAAACAGAAGCTATTCTGGCTTTAGTAGCTATTCCATGCTTTTGGATACTAGAATAGCGGCGCCCAACCTTTTGGATCAAGTAAGTGACATGGGGCTAGTACACGGGCTGGATCACATGTGGGTCATGCCCTGACACCCAGATGCAACCCTGTGTGTCCAGATGTGGCCCTAAGCAGTGGCAAAATCTGGCACGTGGGGCCATGTTATTTGGCCCCCAGGGTTCCCAATGGGTCTGAAAATTTGGCAGCGGAGGAGTGGGAATGTAATGCTTCCGTCACTGCTTCCCACCCCCAACTGCCAAATATTTCTGAGCTGTGGGGAGCCCCATAGGCTGGATTTGTCCTGCAAGCCGGGGTTGAGCACCCTTGTACTAAAGCATCTGTCCTAAGTGAGTTTTCTAGTATTATACTTGTATTATATCATTGTAAAGCTATAGAGTAGAGACTGCTCTTTTTTTTTTTTAAGCACAGGTATCACCTGCATTTAAATGCTAGTATGTTGTGGTACTTCCTAATAAGAGAAGAAATAAAAGTTTTATTTGTTGCTGTTCATGCTCTTAAATGCACATAGTAGCTTTTTCAGAGTAGCATACATAAAATTCAGCAGTCTCTTTGCTGTGGGAGTGTGTATGTACTCTTTTCCCCTCCCCCACCCCCCGGTTCCCCTCTCCACCATGGAAAGCATATGGTGTGTGGTGGGGGGAGAGGGGCATGTTGTAACTGGCTATTGTCAGCATGTTACTTTCAATTTAATAAAAGAAATTTAGTTCAGTAATTTTCTGGTACTTT